TCTCTTATATCCTCCTCTCTCTCTCTCTCTCTCTCTCTGTTCTCCTTCGAAGAATCCTCGTGGAGGATTCTTTCACGGTTTGGAGAAGTTCCTCCTAGGTTTTCCAGGTTTGACACGCGAATACGAAATCCGGGTTGGCGTTGAATAATCGAGTTCGGATTAATTCGGACTCTCGGGAAAAATTTCAATTTCGAGGCGCAAACTTGCGTTTCAAAACGGTTAATTGTTTTTTCGAGAGAGCGTGGTATTTTTTCGCAACGTCTCCAACTTTCAATCTCCGTCCCGAAAGTGGTCTGGTAGGGGAGGAATATCTCTCGACGGTTTTACTCTCGAGCAGAGTTTGCCTTTCTCCTAAAAATTTACTTAATACGCTCGATACCGTAGTATGCGTCGTTGGAGATTCTACGAACGAAGAGTACGAAAGAAGAATCTTCCTCGTAACTTTGCTTTTCCATACGATAACCTTCGATACGACAATTTCGTTTCGTTCATTCTTCACCGGTTTTACGACTTTTATTGTCGAAAATCGATAATAATTGGGGGAATTTTTTTTTTTTTAATTAAATTTTAAGATCCTTTTTCGAATTATTTCGAGGAAATGGAATACTCAAAGGGACGGTTTAATCTTGATAAATCTCGATTAAAATCGATAATAATTGAAGGGATTCTTTAAAATTAGAGTTTAAAATTCCTTTTCGATTATTATTTCGAGGAATATTCAAAGCGAATATCCACTGGAAACGACGCATGATCTCGATAAATCTCGATTAAAATCGATAATAATTGGGGGGGGATTTTGTAAAATTAAATCTTTTTGATTCCTTTTCGAATTATTTCGAGGAGATAAAATATTCAAAGCGAACATCGCATGGTTAAATCTCGATTAAAATCGATGATAATTGGAAAACTTTTTTTATAAATTCTCTCGAGATTCCTTTTCGATTTATTTCGAGAAGATAAAATATTCAAAGCGAATACCAAGCGGAAACGACTCACGATTTAATCTCGATAAATCTCGATTAAAATGATAAGATTTTTAAATATCTCTTAAGACTCCTTTTCGAATTATTTCGAATAAAATCGATGATAATCGACGAAGATTTTCTTTTTTATAATAATTCTCTTTCATTAAATTCCTTTCATTCGAGGTGATAAAACACTGAAAGCGACTATCAACCGGAAACGATTCACGATTTAATCCCGATAAATCTCGATTAAAATGATAATTGGGAGATTTTTAAATTCTTAAATAATTTTTAATAAAATCGATGATAATTGACGAAGATTTTCTCTTTCATAAAATTCACTCGACGAGATAAAACACTCTATCAACCAAAAACGACTCACGATTTAATCCCGATAAATCTCGATTAAAATGATAATTGGGAAGATTTTTAAACTCTCTTAAGTTTCCACTTCGAATTGTTCCGAGTAAAATCGACGATAATCGACCAAGATTCTCTTTTTCATAAAATTCCTTCCATTCGACGGGATAAAAATATTGAAATAAGCGACTATCGAGCGGAAAACCGATATTCAATCTCGGACGAGCGTCAGAATTCGCGAATTACACGATAATACGAGGGGAGTCGCCGCGCGAAAGGGACTTTTTTTTTAAGAGGAGAAAGGTGGCCGCGAACGAGGAACGAACGCGTCAAGTGCGGTCCTCGGCACACGCCGGTATGCACGCGCGTTCCTGCGCGGAAATCGCAAGTAGCCCGGGGGGAATGCGCTGGGTGGTGGCTACTCCCGCTCTGTTACCAGTCGGCCGAGAAATAAGCCGGATGACGGTCGTTTTCGTTCGTTTAGAGCGACTCGTTTCGATCCTCGCCGGCCAATTGCCTCCTCTTTCTTCCCTTTTCGCTCGCCCGAATACGCGACTGTCATCACTGCGAATCGCTGTTGTTACGAATGCCGGCAAATCGAGCAAAGAGAGTTTTTGAGAATTGCAAGAATGTGTGTATGTGTCCAAATAAGCAAAGATTTATAACAATTTGTACATTTTGGGGGGAATGTTTCGTATCGTAATTGAAAGTAAAGAAGGCGATGCAATCGTAGAATAACGTTCTAAAATGTGTATATCGTGTATATCTAGAAAATAAGCAAAGAATAGATTCGTTTGTACAATTTCAAAAGGAATATTTCGTATTGAAAATAATAGGTGATAAGTCGTTCTATTACTTTTTTTTTTTATCGCGAATAACCTCCTCTTTTCCCTAACAAATCGAGCAAAGATTGAAAAAGAATGTCCAAGAATTGCAAAAATGTGTGTATCGTGTCTACGGTAGAAAATAAGCAGGATTGATTCATAATGTAATTTGTACATTTTAAAGAAAATGTTTTTCGTAATTGACTTAGAAATAATAACCGATACGTTGTTCTACGAGTAAAGATTTGTGAAAAAGTGTTCTTACGATCTCGAATTATAAAAAAATATGTATACCAAAAAGCAAATTAGAGGAAATGTTGTCGTACCGATCGAACTGAAAATAATAACTGATACAATATCCTCTTTTCCAAATCGAGCAAACATTAAAAAATATCGAATTATAAAAATCGCGAAAATAAGCAATTATTCGTAATTAAACGGTTTGTACATTTTACAGGAAAAACGTCCGATGAAAAATTCTTTCGTATCGTAATTGAATTCAAAATGATAGCTGGTATTACGCGAATTATGCGAGGCTCCATTACGTAATAGACAGTTGGTTGTCCCCTGGACAGGTTCGTTTGAACGTCTCGCTAGCCGAGAGGGTTTTTAACGCCACGAGTGTTTCGCATTTTACGCATGGAATTATAAGTATAACGAGGAGCCGTATAACACGATTGGACTACGTTTTCGAGATAATCGCGTTTCATCGCGCGAATCACGCTCCAACTACCTTGCTACATTCGTTATTAACGATCGTTGAAATTAATTCGGCTTAAGGCTACCCCGCTAAGAGGATCGAGAGCCGCCGCAATTTTCCTCCTCCACAGAGAAGGAGAGAGAGAGCAAGAAGGAAGAAAAAACATTTCATCGGACGAAAATGTTCACGAAGTGTTTGAAACGAGCGCGTTGATTCGCATCGACGAATTAAAAAACACCTGCGACAAGTTGATATTTCCTCCTCCTGTTCTTTCTTCCAAAAAATTGCGCACGAAACTTGCATCGAACGAACTTTCCACGCACCGCGTCGGAACAATGGGAGACGAAATACCCTCTCCTCTTCTCTTTGTGTTTTGCCTCGTGCGTTATTACGCGCGCATTGTTACGCGCAAGGGAAGAAAGGCGTCGTTGACACGAAAGGTCTTAAGGATGAAAGCTCAGCGGAGAGTTATATGCGGTTTTATGGAACTGTATAACCAAGCATCGAATCTATTATTGTTAATCGATAATTAGTAGTGGATCGGCCAACCCTAACAATTAATCCTTCCCTCCCCGATAATGAAAGTTTCAGGACAGTTGCGCCAAATACACGAGTAATCGATCGAAAATTACCTGTCAAAATAGTAACGATAGTTTCGAGGTAAAATCGAATTCGTCCTCGCCATCTGAAAATCTCCAACAGGATTGATCGACGATCCACTCTTTAATTATCCATCGTTAATAAATCGTTATGTAATGATTCTCTCCGCTCTTTGCCACCCATTTTCGTTTCGATTCATTATTCTTTTCGAACGATCCGCAACAACCGTAGGAATCCGATTTAGTTAGAAATCAACGTTCCCTTCTCATTGCAAATTCGCTGGGCGTCCGTCCGTTCGCGCCTAGCACGGACAGCTATGCGGGCAGCAAGCGAATTTCCAAGAGGAGGAAGAAGGGACGATCGCCAAGATTGGGACCACGCCTCGACCACGCGTCGATCGACTTTGGGGGAGGGTAGCAATCGATGCGAGGTCGAGCATTGTCGAGTCTTATCATCGACCGAGTTTTTTCCAGCCGATCATCTCGATTTCGCAATTTCGAAAGTTAATATCGAGCTGCTACTCCTCCCTGTCGTTCCTTCGCCGAAATATCTCGACGACGAGGATGGAGAAGATCGAGAAACGATGAGAGGTGACGAGAGAAGGGAGGCAATAACAGGCATCGACATTTTTACGCATTAAATTACGAGGCTACCGATCGATTCGCGTTTGCCCTTCTTTCCTCTTCTTTTTCCTCCCCGCTTCCCTTTCCGCCTCGCCGCTCCAACTTCATTAGCATTTTATGGCATGTATCGCGATCGGTCACCATGTTCCACCGCCTGTTTACAACGCTCGCTCGCCGTGGGACGAGAGAGAACTCGTTTTCGTGGCTGGAAACGTCCCCGTAGGTCCCTCTAGCATAGACAAATTTTTCTCCCTCATAATTATCCTACAACGATCGTGTATATTTATTTGGAATCGATTGTTTTGCTGAATTCCACGGTAGAAGTTCGTGGCTATAATAACTGTGGAAAGCAGCGCTCGATGGCTATTAATTATTGCACGCGTTTTATTACTTACGAACAACACCACGTTGTAAATGTGGAGAACGTATTTCAGGAAATTGACCGAGCAGCAGCCGTCGTCTCTGGTTCTCAGCCTGGTCGAGGTACCGGGCAACCTCTCCGCGCTTTTGGCCATGATTCCTCGATTCGTTCCCTCCGATTCGTGTGCTGGCTCCGTGGTGCTCGTCGTCGTGGTCGTCGTGCTCGTCACCTCGTCACCGACTCTGAAACCACCAGGAAATACGTTCCAGGATTAGAGGATTATTTTTCTTCGCCCAAATCAAATTCCATCCCCTTCGCTGTTATTTCGAATAGACTATCGGGGGCTATGGGATGGGGGAATTGGAAGTAAATCCATCTTCGAGGGTCCCTGGCCATCGGCCAATCCGGATAGATTTCGCTTCTTATATTTGACTTTGATAATACGTCGCTTCAGATTTCCTTAAATCCTTCCGCTCGCGAAATTCGAATACGAAAGCTTTGAAAGCTTCGAGACTTTGTTGTAATTAAAAAGTACTCTCGAATTACGTCCAAGCGAAGCTATCGAAAAATTGAATACGCGAAAGGAAAGGACTAAGTAACTTCTTCACGTGAATTTCTGAGATCGATCATATATGAAAACAAGTAGATACTCTCGAATTACGACCAAGTGGAGGGAAAGGAGTTACGATCGAAAAATCCGAAAATAATTTTTCCGCGTGAATTGCGATGTACGAAAGTTCTGAAAGATTTTATTGTAATTAAAGCAATTAGTCTCGAATCGAACTATCGAGATCGTACATGAAACATTCTATTTTGATTAAAACAAGTAGAGGTAATCTCGAATTACGAGCAAACGAAACTGCGGAGAAGTTGAACGAGATGGACAACACGCGGCAGAGAAGGACTCACGATTCCGGAAGTAAGTTCTTGAAAAACATTGGAGGAAAAAAGTGTACGAGACATCCTTTCGCTTCGCCAAGGAACGCGGCGTTCGATCGATCGCTCTCTCCATCCCTTTTCTGCTCCCTTTTTCCTTATATTGGTCGCGTGCACGAAATCGGTCGGTGCTATCTTCGTCGACCTCTTTCTACACCCCATAGTTTGCCTCCTTCGTGAAATTTCTTTGCCGCGCTTTCGATTATATGCCAAATCATCGCTGGTGGCTCGAATAATTTTTATATACGTCATTTAGCCTCTTTCAATTAACACGTCTATATATACATTAAAAAACGATTCGAAGCTATTTCTATATCTATCGTTCAGTTTCCTCGATTAGCACGTCTTTATGGTATCGTGAAAAGCTTGAATGATTTCAATATCCTATCGTTTAGTTTCCTCGTGAAATTTCTTTGACGTACCTTCGATTAAACCTGCCTTTATCGTGATACCGTTAAAAATCGAATGACTTTTATATTCTATTTAGTTTGTAACGATTTCTTTGACGATCTTTTCGATTACCTTCCATTGTGCAGTATCGAAAACCGCACTGAATGATTTCTACGATTCAATTTCTTTCGCGTGTTTTCGATTAAACCTGCATTAAAAATCGAATGATTTTCACATCTATTTAGATTTCCTTCTTTGACTTCCTTCTTTCGATTCGAACACGCCTTCCATCGCGTAACATCGTGAATCGATCTCCAGCACAAAAAGCAAAACTTAATTTCTATCCCATATCTATTCTTCTCGTCAAGTTTCTTTGATGCTGATCAGCGCATCCATCGGCCGTTTTCGATTTTCGCCGATATGGAATTCATGAAATGGCATCCGTTCACGGCTAACGATAACGAGCCGCCAAGAATTAATTAGAGAGCCGCTCTTATTTACTCGCCGCTAATCGTGCTTCCCCAATTAGAGCGTAACCGATCGAGAAACAATCCTCCTCTCCTCCACGATTCACCGGGGCCATTCTTTTTTCGGGGGGATTTTGGCGTCGTCCCCTGAACGAAGGATACACAAATGGCGGACTAATGAGAACGAAGGAGAGAGGAAGCCCGAGGTGGCCGAATAAGGAGGAGAGGCGATTGCCAAAGCGACCCTTGGGGGACGAGGAGAGGAGAAGAGAGGAGGAGACCGTGAAATTAAATGGGTGTGACCCGTCGTCGCGTGGGCGATGAAAGAAAACTTTTAACTTTTAAAAGTCAGGCGTTCGTCCTGAATGTTATATTCAACACGCGTAATTTCGACTTATGCATGATTTCGATGCAAGAATGGAAAGATAAAGTTTATCGTTATTTTAATTCTTTGCGCTCGAGAGGCGAGTCTAAGTTAATTGCCTGTCTACTTTTTTTGCTGTATCTGCGATCTCTGAGAGCAACCAACCTGGCTTTGGGATTGTCACGTTTTGCATTTTTTTCTTTTAAGATAGAATAAATTCGACCACCTCTCTTGTGTCAAATAATCGATTCAAATGTTGAATAAAGCTAGCACGCATTTTCAATTGCATAATATATCTTTAACGTTATAACTCATATTTATAAAACTGTAATTTTCGTTTTGTTCTTTTCATTTTGTTTTACAAGTTACTTTATATATGTTTTATTTCTCTGTATATTTTTTACATACTCATTGCTTTTTTGTTCCATATTAATTAAATGCAATGTTAATTTTTTTACATTATATTCAGTTATATTTTTACCTTATATACGTATTTTTAACGAAATAATAAATTATAACAAAAAGCAATGCTGTTCTCCACATAAATCTCCACATAAAATTGGAAAAAAATAATTTTGTCCAATTTAGTCCCTATCACTTAGCAACTCGAGTAACGAGTGATTTACCACGTTAATTTCGTTATCTTTCCAAACTTAATAATCCTTTCATTACACGAAGCGTGTATATAAAATCATCTCGAGTTGCCACTTCGCCCTTCTGAATCGAAAAACTCAAGAATTAATCCTCCACTTTATTGCTCTAAACGCCAAAAAAAAAAAAAAAAGAAAAATCTTCAGACTCTGCGTTTGCATCAAAATTAACGCGTTGTTTATATACCACGCCCGCAGTTAAAGGAAACCGGCGTTTATTCGTTTCCAGTCGAGAGAATAGAATTAGCTGGAACGCCGAGACGGTTGGAATGGAAATTTCGCGTTGGTACTCTTTTCCCGCGAAGAAGCTAAAAGCTAGCAAAGTTCCCCCCTCTCCAGCAAGTATCGTTCATCACAACCACCGTGTCCCGTGGAACAAAGATACGAATCGCGGCGAACAACAGTTTTCCGGGTTGATGAAAAAACTCCCGAGAGACGAAGAGGGTGAAAGGGAGGGTCTTATCGCTTCCGCTCGAAAACGCACGTACGCACGAATGAATTCCGCTCGTGGAATATATATTTAAAAAGACGTGGTCAACCCTCTTGCCTTACCACTCGAGTTCCAATAGCTCGTGCCACGAACAACAACGAACAAGAATGTCGAGCCGTTTCGCGCTTTGACTCGAGCGTTCCAAGTCGTTCAAATCGTTACTACACGTTGTACAACTAATGATTATTTTATTTCGAATTTATTATTAACGTCTCGATAAAATTTAGAAAAATTTAAAATAACGTTCTTTTGATGCATCTTGCTTTACATACGTTTTGCACTTGTCCGGCTGTTTCACTTTTTACGTTTTCTATAACCAATCGCTTGTATAACTACTCGCTATTTAAAAATATTCATAAAATCAATTTTTCTCGATGCTAGCAAAACTTTCGCTGTTTAATGTAACAACACTTTTAATACACCTTTTTTCATCTTGATTTTAATGTTTTTAATATTTTTCACGAAAATATATCTGCACGTCCGAAAATGCCAGGAAAATGAGTAAACTCGCACGATATTGTAAGAGGTTAAGCTGAGAGATAACTCGAATATCTTTCATTCAAGCGCGGAGAGGAGGAACAGCTCGTTCCTCCTTTTAGAGATCGGCGCTGGATAAGGTGGAACGAAAACGGAACGCTTTCGTGGCTAACGAGATACAAATGTATGTATCTTGGCGATAATGGGCGTGAAAATAATCAATGGCGGTATGGAGAGGGAAAAAATTTCGTTGTGCCACGCGCCAGATACGGGACCTTCTGTTAGCCCACGTGCCAGCCAGGGAGCAGACCTCGGGCTACACCTTTCGACACCCACGCTAAAAGTAAAACGACCCACGATGACGCGCCTACTCCATACATACATACAAACGCGTACGTGTTTGTTTGCTTTTCAACCAAGAGAAATAAATCGGGACACGTCGGATTTATCCTCTGCTTTCGTTTACGAAAATCCCCTTCGAGACGTTTCATCGATTTAACCCTTTGTTATTATTTAAAAAGGTTGCCAATCAAGTAGAATGTATAATTACATTAAACATATGTATATACACGAATTAGGAAGAGTCGTGACGAGCAATAGTTTCCAGTTCTGTGCAATAATAATTTCAATATTAGGCGAGAAGAGAAGAGTTGTATCTTACGGAACAAACATATTTTTGCGCGAACAACTGTTTATTTAAAAAATAATAAAACCACGCAATTTTAAAAAGACAAATTCGAGGACAAAATTTAAGAAGATTAACGAAGAACGTTGCCAAAGAGAGAGATAGAGGGATTGCACATCTTTTTTCTCAACCCCGTGTTAATCGAGGGGTCGCTGCGCGTAAGCCGCGTCTATCGAAAACCATGTCTCATAATATATCAGCGACGACATCGGTGTGCTGTCGTTCGATCCCTTCCCATCAATTTGCCGCAGTGGCGTGTTCCCAGCGTAGACATATCCTCATTTATCCCAATGTCCTACACACCCGAGCCAATTTCCTAATCGAGCCAATCATCCAATCGCATTAACCTTGCCGGCCATTCAGGGAGGCCCCCCTTTTTATTGGACGGTTCCTGGCCACAGGTTTCCAACGCACCGTCCATCCTCCAAGGTGTTCGACACCACTTTTGCGTAGAAGACAGGAGAACATGTAAACCGCTGCTTACCACCACTTTCACGATCGATCGATCTACGACAGAACGCCTCCGAAATGCCGACACACCAATCTCACCCAAGCCTTTGTCGCCCGCCTTGTGGAATTTCGAGGGAGGGGGGAGCTCGAGGTAGGTCGTTTCAATGACGTGGCGCATGATACGGTGTATCGCGGAGGGGAAGAATTGTGTCCGCGGCGTTCGTATAATTTCGAATCTCTCACCCCTTTCTTCCGTCGAATTCTCCGCCCCCCTCCGTGAAATTTCCTCGAACGAGACGCAGCAGGGATGTACGTCGGTTAGCTTTTAAAATA